TGTGAAATGCTTGGCTGGCTTGAAACAGTAAAATCATTTAAAATTGTGCTTTACAAGGCTGCCTAATTGCAATAGCTATCAATTGTCTTGGAAAAAAAAAAGAAAGCATGACATTTCAAAAAATGTGAAACAAGTCAGGATCAACTATGTGATGATGGTTATTGTAGTAGAATTGTTAGTTTTACTTAATGGGACACTCAAAAATATAATTAGATCTTTAGAGCCTAGCTGAATAAAAGCACACAGTGAAATTAAGATAGTAGGTATATCGGAAGATAATGTTTCATAAAGAGATTATTTTGGTGAACTTTATTTGAATCAGGATGATTCATAATTGTATAATTACATGCTTGAATTTAAACATGAAATGCAGTAAATTATACAAGTAGCAAGTAGAGTATCTCTCCCTGGTAGTTTTCAATGAAATCATATTAATGAGACGTTGACATTGCCTTTTTTCTCCAGACAACAAGTTGTGATCAGCTGGTGGTGCTGTCTGCAAACAGCCCCACATAGGATGAAGCCCAGGAGCTCCGTGGTCCTTTTGGGGGACCCTCTCCCCATTCCCAGGTGTTTGGGTTTCCGGGAGGGCTTAAGGAGCAGCACAACCTTGGAGCCCAGGAGTGATCGCTCAGCAGGGCGCTGTGAAGACAGTACAGGATTGTGGGGTTTCCCCTGAGGGCACTTTGCCAGCAAGTCAGACTTTCCTGCCTTCAGACCTTTGCTTGCCACCAGCTTCAAGGTCAGAATCAGACTGATGCTTTGCCTCTGGACGCGGACTGACTTCCCATCCTTCTACTCTTTCAGAAGTTCTTTAAGTAATTTTCTCTGAGAGTGAGTATGAGAGACAGAGCATGCCCATCCGATGGTTTACTCCCCACATGCCTGAATCAAGGGCTAGGTCAGGCTGCAGCTGCATGCTGAGCACCCAGCCTGGTTCTCCTGTGTGCGCAGCAAGGACCCGGGAATTGGCTGCCTCCCAGGGTGTGCATCAGCAGGAAGCTGGAATCAAAGACTGAGACAGGACTTGAACCCAGACACTATGATACAGCACGTAAGACTCCCAAGTGATGTCCCGCCTGATGTCTGCCACCACCACCGCCCTGCTGTTTTCGCTCAGCGGCTCCAGTCAGGATCTGCCTTGGGCAAAGGCACACGGGTCACACAGGAGGTGGCTGGTTCGTTAGTTGAAAATTGGACATTAGGGTACACTTATGCAAATGGCAGAGCTCATCGACCTCGTAGTGCAGCTTTACAGGCTCTCATTCCCCCTGGGACGAGATACCATTTTCAGTATCTTTTCAGACCCTTGCTCCACAGATGGGAAAACCACAGAGGGATGTTTTAATTGCTTACAGCCTAACCTCTTGTGGCAAGAGCAGGATCAAACACATTCTGGATTGGCTAGTTAATTTGATTCTGATTCAGAATGAAAATGTGGAATCCTCCCATTTAAAAATAGTAAGAACTGGGCATAGCAGTGCATGAATCCAGCCTGGGACTCCATGTTCAGCCAGCTGATTGATTGCCTTCCAAACACCAACTCTATAGAGCCTGGGCTTGGTGTTTGAGGGGGCAGCTTTTCTGCTTTCCTGAATTCTAAGCCAACTGAGACAATTGACAAAGCTTGACTTAGGATAAAAGCTGGGCTGGTGATTGTTGTCCACATAGGCATGTGGCCATGGCAGGCAGGTTGCCTAACTCTGAACCTGGAATAACAGATGCCCCCACCCCCAGGAAAAGCTGCTTCTAGGATGGACAGAGCTTTTTCTGCTCACCTTCTGATGTAGCCATGAGCAAAGCAGAGCTGCTTCTCCAGGGCGGGCAGATCTCAAAGAAGAGAGAAAGAGAAGCTAAGGTATGGACTCCGGCTCCTTCCCAGGATGCACTCAGCAGGTGTCCTTCATCCTCTCAGTGGGGAGCATCCTGCTGAGGATTCCTCCTGTTTGAGACAGACTTTCCCAGATGGTGCACAGGATCCATACTCAATCTTGTTTAACCCCCGCTGCTTTGAGACTGTTTTGGATTCAGTGTTTGGCTCCTAATGAATGTACAGAACAGTGATGTACTCCCACGAGCAGGTTACAGAACATTCTCTCTCTCTCCACCTCCCCCTCTCTGCTGTCTCTCGCTCTCCTAAGTAAGCCAGGCTGCCATAATGTGAGCAGTTCTATGGGGGAAGTCTACAGAGCAAGGATCTAGGGTTCTTGTGCCTGCAGCTTCCCAGTCATGTTGAGAGCCTTGCGGGGGAGCGTGGAGGCAGATCCACCTGGGTTCCCTGCGGGGGAGCGTGGAGGCAGATCCACCTGGGTGCCCTGCGGGGGAGCGTGGAGGCAGATCCACCTGGGTGCCCTGCGGGGGAGCGTGGAGGCAGATTCACCTGGGTGCCCTGCGGGGGAGCGTGGAGGCAGATCCACCTGGGTGCCTGGAGAGGACTATAGCTCCTGAGTACATGCTACTTCCTCCCTGTGCTAGACCCTTCCTTTCTCTTTCCTTTTCTGCCTCCTCCATCCTCAATTCCTTCTCTCTTCCCACCTGCTACAGCCCTGAAAAATCAACGTGGTCCTCCCTAAAAGCCATCAAGAAATCTTTGTTGCCTAAGTAAAAGCCAGACCCCTTAGATTTCCAGTTACAACTGAGTTCAGAATGACTTGGCTGTTCTGGTGTAGAGGAGGGAAGCACTGATGAATGGATCGAGCCAGTGCAGAGAGCTTTGAAAGCCTGCAGGCGGGCCCGGCGCGGTGGCACAGTGGGTAAGGTCCTCGCCTTGCACGCCCGGGATCCCATATGGGCGCCGGTTCTATCCTGGCAGCCCCTCTTCCCTTCCAGCTCCCTGCCTGTGGCCTGGGAAGGCAGTCGAGGACAGCACAAAGCTTTGGGACCCTGCACCCACGTGGGAGAGGCTCCTGGCTTCGGACTGGCATAGTATTGGCCGCTGCGCTCACTTGGGGAGTGAATCATTGGACAGAAGATCTTCCTCTCTGTCTTTCCTCTCTGTATATCTGCCTTTCCAATAAAAATAAAATAAATCTTAAAAAAAAAGCCCGCAGGTGCACAAGCAAGCCTTACACTAGGAGGAAGCCGTGGTCCCAAGGAGCCCGGCTTGGTTCATTCAGTCATTCGTCCATTCTTCTTGCAGTTATTCACCAGCCAAGCACTTTTCTGAGGAAAAAGTTTTACACAACCATGAGAGCAGCAAACAATTCTTGCTCTGTGAGACATGATTTCCTGGGGAGAAGCAGATCATAAACAAACAAACAAAAAAACTGAAATATATATTACCCTGGTTGTTGAGTAAATGCTGTAGAGAAAAAAATAAGTCAGGCAAGTTAGGATAAGGCATCCTGAGAGTACTGAGATATAAAATAGGGAAACACTGAGTGGAGAAGTGGCACCTGGACAAAGGCCAGGCTGTGCAGGGCCCCTGAGAGCACTGGGAGGTCCTGGTGTGCCCAAGAGAAGTGGCATTAACCTCTGAAGGGTGATGCACTTGTGTTCTAGCAAAGGAGAAGTTTTGCAAGTCGTTTACCTTAGCTTCAGTATCTGAATTGTAACAGTGCCCACCTCGGAGGTGTTGTGAGTAGGGAGAGCATTCATGCATTTACTCTGTGCCCCCAAAGTTCATTGAGTGCCCACTGTGTGCCACTAACTGTATCATGTTAGTGATTATTAAAGAGAGCCAGATTGATAAGTGAGTTTGTCATTTTTTTCTTCAAAATGGCAACCTTGCTCTGATTCACCAAGGATCATGGGAGATAATTCAGTTTCACATATTTGTGTCTCTTCCCTGTGTTCTCTCACGGCCTGAATCCCCCAGGGGCCGTCAGATCATTCAGTATGAGATCATTGAGTGCAGTCCCCAAAGCTCTTACAGCAAACCTGATGCTAAATAATCAGTGACACAAATGACAGCAGTGGCTCCACGATGCAAAAGCTTGGGCCTTCCAAGTGATGGTGTAAGGTAACACCCAGATTTGGTTACTTTGAGCTCAAAGCCCGGGATGGAAAGGGAGATGTAAGGCATTGATAAGAAATCCCAAAAAGATAACAACAACAACAAAAAATTCCTCCATCTTTTCAGGCTATTTTATTCCAAGACAGTTTAGTGAATTCTCTTGGATAAAACTGGGTTACTCACATCGGCGAATGAGGGAAGAAAACAACTAAATACTTTGGATGCCAGGACGGATGTTTCACCCCTGGAGAAGTATCTGAACTTGGTGTGTTTGCAGTACAGCTACATCACGTACTCTGCCTCCAAGGGGCTAAGCACAGAGCTTGCCTTGGGGTCTCAAAATGAGTGAGACAGCCATTGCCCTGGAGAGGTCTGCTGTCTCTTGGGTGAGACACACACAAGCAAACAACGATGACGCACCCTGACAAGGGCTATGAAAGATGCAGACAAAGAATGCCGTGGGGGAACAGCTAAGACATGGTAATTCTGCCTCTGAGTATGTTGTTGCCGAGTGCTTGTGAATTAATGAAAGCTGCCAACGTTTGGAAGATGTCGCTGATTGTAAGCTATTCTCCAATTTAATAGCAGCTTCTGGGTAAGCAATAAAGAGTACTGCCACTGGGTAAACAACAAGGAGTACCATTAAATGGTCACTTCAATTACGACGTGCATGCCAATTATGGAAATTTTAGCATTGTGAAAGTGTGCTAGTTGAGCTCCCTTTCTGCTGAGCCCAGAATCTCCTACAGCAGATGGGGGTCTCTGCAGAAGCCTGATCTCAGCATTGGAGTGGGCAGGACTAGCACAGTAGCCCATGGGAGAGCTGAGAAAACTCAAAACACATGCAGGGTCCTCTAGGAAGCCAGCAAAATAAATGAGTAATGCCGGCGGTCAGAGCTGGGGGAAATGACGACTCCAGAACTCCTTCCTAGGAGAACACAGGATGTGATTGTGAGGGGTTGTTCCTGATGTTCCGCTAGAAGCAAGTACTGCTAGAATTCTCAGGTTGCTACCTCCTTTCCGAGGAGGCAGCCGTTGAGTGACTTGTGGGGACTCCGGCAAAGCTGGATATGTAAGTATGTAGTTAATTTGCTGTGATAATTGAGAACTAGGTCCCAGCAGGCTCCCCTCCCAATCTTGCCCCTTTTCTTTAAATAAAGATTAAATGGAACTTAAAGACTTCACGTTGAAGGGGCCTGGGATTCTCAGCATTCTTTCTAGGCAGTGCTGGCTTCCAGGAAGCAATGGTGAAAGCAAGCAGCGAGGATGAAGGCTCAACCAGCAGCCTTGTGGTCTGGAGGTAAAAACTGGGATCACCTGAGCAGAGGAGGTGGCTCAGAGGATGAGTGCTGAAGCTGGCCTGGAGCTGCAGCGGCATCCCAGGGCACAGGTGATCTCCCAGCATGGGAAGGAGCATGGAGTGTTGGGGCTGTTTAGACCAGAGGCACTGTCTAGTTTTATGCCCTTGGTCAGCACCTGGGAAATTACACACACACGTACAAATTTCAGTCAATTGCTTAAATTGTGTGTGTGTGTAGTATAAGAATGAGAATCTGGGCAAGGAGTGCAGAAGGGAGAAAACATGGACCCAAAAGATCACCTCGGTGACATCCTGGAGACCGCCTTGAGTGGGTCTGGGCCCTCAGGTGAGCGGAGAAGTTGATTGTAGTGATTGACGGCACAGTAGTGTGACCTCCCCATGCTCTGAATCACCCTGGTGCTGACCATGAGACTTTGGGCAAGCCAATTACTGTCTCCAGTTTCAGTCTGTTTGTAATATTTATTTTTAAAATACATTTTATTCAAAAATCATTATTAAAATAATTACATGGTTGATTAGGGTGGGAAGGATCAAGGTTTAGGGAAAATTGTGTGAATTCATTGCTTCCAAATTTGCTATTTCTTCTTGTTCCTGGTGGAAGCGGAGAAGCAAAGGGGGAAACCACTCATGACTTTCCACACATCCCAGTCCCCAGGGATGAGGAACCACCACCTCATACCAACCCAGAGTCTCCATGTGTACATATTCTGAGGGTTCTGTCCAAGTGCTTTGGATGGTTCTGAAATGCTGCCGATTTCACCGGTCCGAGGATGATGTCAATCTCCCAATGTCCATTGGTTCCATTCGCTATGACTTTTTGCTGTCATTATTTGTTTGGGGTTGTTGTTCAGTTAGTTCTGTTCTGTTATAGCATCAAATGTGCTCCTATATTCTCCATTTACAACAGGGCCTGTGTCCACTGTTTCACCTTCTTCATTAAGTAGGACATGCTCCTGCAGGCGAGTCCAAGGACCCAGGCCAGGAGACCAGAGCCCCGCCAGATCGCCCACCCTTGGGGCTCATAAACCAGGCACCTAACTTGTGGTTAGGCTGCAGGATCCAGGCCAGGCAACCTGAGCCCCACCAAATCCCCCACCTGTGGGGTTCACAGACCTGGGCCAGGAGACCCATGCCTTGCCAGATCCTCCATCCCGGTGTTCATAAAACCAACACCTGCTTAGAAGGTGGGCCCCAGGATTTGGGCCAAGTGGCCTACACCTCACCAGTTCTCCCTTCCCCAGGGCTCAGAAACCCATCCCCCACCACACAGGTGGGCCCTGTGAGATGTGCCAAGCTACCTGAGCCCTGTCAGATCCTCCCTTCCTGGGACTCATGTACCAGATCCCCACTGGGCCCAGACTGTAATATTTATTTTGCTGAATTATTGACAGAATTGAGATCATATATTATGGATGGCATATAATGTGTAAATGGCACATAGTAAATGCTTGCTGAAGAAAAATGTATTAAGATATTCATACTAAGACTCATTTTGGTCATTTGGCTCAAACAAACTTCTTTTTAAAAAAGTATGTATTCATATTTTTTTTTTCTGGCAGATTTCCAGAGAGAAGGAGAGGCAAAGAGAAAGATCTTCTTTATGCTGATCCACTTTTCAAATTGCCGCAAGGGATAGAGCTGAGCTGATCTTAAGTCGGGACCTGATTGGGAGCATGTGCCAGGAGCTAGCTAGGAACTAGGAGCTTCCTCGAGATCTCCCAGCCTCTACTGCTTTCTTAGGCCCTACGTAGAGAGCTGGGTGGGAAGTGGAGTAGCTGGGACACAAACCAGCACCCATATGGGATGCCAGCACTGGCAGGCAGGTTTTAACAGGTTGAGTCATCATGCCATGCCCTCAAGTAAAATTCTAAGTAAGTTCCTTGGACAGTCAGTGGGCTACAAGACTCTATGATGGAATTCCAAGTGACATTGAATGTCACAGTCAAATATAAAGGTTTGGGCCTGGCATGATAGTGTAATGGTTAAGATCCTTGCCTTGAACACACCGGGATCCCATATGGGCGCCGGTTCTAATCCTGGCAGCCCCGCTTCCCATCCAGCTCTCTGCTTGTGGCCTGGGAATGCAGACAGGACAGCCCAAAGCTTTGGGACCCTGCGCCCACATGGGAGACCCAGAGGAGGCTCCTGGCTTCAGATTGGCTCAGCTCCAACCATGAGGCTGCTTGGGGAGTGAATCATCAAATGGAAGATCTTCCTCTCTGTCTCTCCTCCAGTCTGTATATCTGCCTTTCCAATAAAAATAAATAAATCTTAAAAAAAAAAAGGTGCTTCTATCTTCTTGCTGAAAGACCTCAAGGAATCTCCCTTGACTTCTCTAAGCGAACCTTCCTGCCTAACAAATGGATGTGGAGACTCTAGAACTGGTATTGCTGATCCGCAGATAAGAGCCCCTTATCAGTTAGGCTTTCCACCTTGCTCAGCTCATAAAAGCCTGCTTCCTAGTGCTTATGGCTGACTTATAGTCAGTGCTACGTAGAGGTGTGTTGAATAGACAAATGAACAGATTAACTCAGGTCTATATTTATTCATCTATCCTTTCAGACACAAGTGGCTCAGACACCATTTATTGTATATGAAAAAAGATGAAAAATAAAGAGGAAGGATAAGCCACTTTGTACAGTGTTAGGGTAAGTATGTGTGTGTGTCCAGGGGGAAGAAATTTGGAACTAGCAACCAGAGGCTCCAGAGCAATTCTGGAGTGTGATAGCACTGGGGGAGAGTGCTCTCACAAAAGCCCAAAGGCATTTTGGAAAAGTGGCATTGTGAATTATGTCTCTTGGCCACTTCCTTCTTCTTGGACATATAGGAGTTAGAGTTGGTTTCCTTTCCATAACATTGGCTGCTGGGCTGCAATTCTTTCAGTTTAATTGTACCCAACCATGTGAGTCTCAGGACTTAAAAACTGTATACAAATAATGGGCACTCCAGTCATTTCAGGAATTAGATGGGGACTCGGGATCTAGAGACAAGTCACACTAAAGGTATGCTTAGAAGGAGCACTGGTGCTTTCTCTCTCTCTCTGATACATACACATATACTCTCTCTCTCTCTCTCTCACACACACACACACACACACACACACACACACACAACCTCAGTGCTATGGCATGGAATTAGACAAAATGCTACTGGTGGGAGCAAGGAAGGCTTCAATAGAGAAGGTACATTTAAACTGGGCCTTAAAGGGGGAGGTACCCAAGTCATTGTGGAGTCACAATCTAAGCAAATGCAAATAGGCATATGTGTATGTAACATGTGAGTGTACATATTAATATTGATATGTACCAGAGTGCTATGTGGTAAGCACAGTGCACTGGGAACACACAGGAAGGGGAAGCTGAATTCACAGGGGAGTGATCCTCACCTAGGGCTAGTTGATTGCCAGGAATGGCATCTGAGTCTAGAACAAGGGACATTGTTTCCAAAGTCTTGGAAGTCGCAGGCCCTTGACCTTGAAGCTTGAGCCCAGCTGGCCAATCCACAAGTTGATCCTTTGGTGTTTGCAGGGTGGATAAGGACCACCCAGGGTGTGTCACATGCAGCAGAGATCTTAGTGATGGCAACACCCAATTCTGTTCTGGTGACAGTATCTTTCCAGGAAAGTGATGCCACCTGGATTTAGTTCCACACATCCATCCAGAGGAAGGCTCAACCATCTTTGCAGAAGGAGGCTACTGAGGGTTGCAGAAATAGCAGCTTGGAAAACCAAAAGCCTTTTCTGGCTGGTGGGCTTGGATTGGAAGAGGACTGTGAAGAGGAACCACAGTCACAGCTTAGATCTTGTGCCAGTGCCTTACATGCATTGCCCAACATGCATCTGGGTTTATCTGCTTCCAAATGTTATCGCATGATTGCTCAGAGTGTTAACACTTTAGGATGTGGAGGAGCTGGAGGTGACCAGGCTGGGCAGGCTGTAAAAAGCCTCTTGTCTGGTGCATGATGTGAGCTGAGCCCTGGAGGTTGGGAAGCATTTGATTCCTGGGTTTCAGGAGGTTGGGCCTATTGGTAGGTGACTTAACATTGGTCAACTCTTCAATGGTCATCATTATACTATCTGGTGAAGTTTATCAAAGAATTAAGTGAGGGCCCGGCGCGGTGGCGCAAGTGGTTAAGTCCTCACCTTGCACGCCCGGATCCCATATGGGCGCCGGTGCTGGTCCCGGCAGCCCCGCTTCCCTTCCAGCTCCCTGCCTGTGGCCTGGGAAGGCAGTCGAGGACGGCCCAAAGCTTTGGGAACCTGCACCCGCGTGGGAGACCCGGAGGAGGCTCCTGGCTTCGGACCGGCATAGTATCGGCCGTTGCGGCTCACTTGGGGGGTGAATCATTGGACGGAAGATCTTCCTCTCTGTCTTTCCTCTCTGTATATCCGCCTTTCCAATAAAAAAAATAATAATAAAAATAAATCTTAAAAAAAAAAAAGAATTAAGCGAGACAATATGCTCCTATTCTATGTGGGGAGGCAGAAATGCTCCCTCCCCGTTTGACAGTTGAACAGACTGAAACCTGGCTCATAACATACACTCAGTAAACAGCAGTGCAGTTGTCATTCTCATCCCAGGCATGTGGACAGATGAAACAGTGACATACAGCTACACTGATATTTCCCCCACAGCTGGAGCAGCTGCATACAGCACAGCTGGAATAGCACCTGCATACAGCAGGCACTTAATAAAGATCTGCTCAAGGCACGAAATCCTAGATCCTCCACGTACTATGTTTGTGACTTCAGGCAAACTGTGCCACCTCTCTGTGTCTCTCTCCTTATCTACGTAATGATGATAATAGTTTCCACCTCACGGGATTATGGAGAATAAATATCTGCATAATACCTGACAGAATGCTTCCTGTTTATTATTCCTAGGAGGTGACAAGAGAATGACTGATTAGGAATTCTCATGTTTACTGTCTCCTCTTCCTGAACACCTTCATGAATTTTGGGGGATTTTTTTCCCACTCATCTGTTTAATGGAACACCCCTCCTCCAAATATCGTGGCCTGAGAATCACTCTGTTGACGTCCTACTAGGAATAAAGGGATAGGAAATTGAGAAGTCTTGGTTTAAAAGCAGACAGTAGTATATGTAATGGTTGGGGGAAAAAAGCTATGAATGTTGTAAACTATAGATGCACTGCTTGTTGTTTGACCTTGGCTGTGTCCTTGAGTTTCTCTGGGTTTTGGTACTGCAACTGCAAAAAAAAAAAAAAATGTGACTTAGTAAAGCATCTATCTATAGCCTCGGTAGAGAGTAGTCCCTAAGTGGGAGTGAACAAAACACACGAGTATAGACAACCAGGAAGGTACTTTTGGATGAATGGCTATATATTCAGCCATGTCCTTGAGGGCTATAGTCATTGGCAAAGAATGGCAACTTTGCAGTCAGTATGATACAACCAGCAGGGAGAAATGCTGGTGGCCTGTGGCTAGAGTCACACTGAACTTTGGAGGACATCATATAGAACATGCTGGAAGACACACCTTCGGACCTCATTCTTTACCTTACTCCAAGTTGTTGTCCGGTTGGATTTGTTTTCTGCCAAGATTTTTAAAAAATCTGCTCCCTGGAGAAGAGTTGACAAGATCTTCTGACAGGAAACCTATTATTCCACTTGCAAATCACACACAAGTATGCTTAGGCCTTGGCTAACTGGCAAGGGACCTGTTGGCTTTGGCAGAGAGGGTCATGACGGGGGACTGGTAAGGTGGCGATTGAAGGCACTTGGTACCAGCAATCTGATCCAGCCAGCATTCATTTGCCATCTCTTCACTGTGCTATGCACTGGGGACTCACAAGTTGACAAGATGTGGTCCCTGCCCTCAGTTGTTCAGTTCAGTGTGTGTTGGGAACCCAGAAGTGCAGCTCATATCCCCAAGAACAGAATACATCAGGGACGTTGATACTGGGATCACCATGTGGGCATGGAGGTCAAGAAGGTGGAGTGTTGGCATGATAAAATCTCTTTGGAAAGAATATTCTTCCCTACTTCTCTGTCAACTGGAGATGCAGAGAACTCCATCGGTCAGCTTACTGTTCAGAACATTTCATTTTCTTCTGAGACCTTTAGACCTCATCCTCACTCCAATTTGTCTTGATGAAACACCAACCATTTTTCAAATGAGATTTGTTATTTGGCTCTTTAAAGACCTGTGCTCATTCATTCCACAGGGTTTCACTGGGCCCTTGAGTTGGGTGGCAGATAGACCAAGTTTTGGGAAGGTCCTAAGGGAAAGGAAGATGCTGGGAGAGTTTTTCACTAATCCATGGCATCCTAAGGAAGTGAACCCAGGAGTTCTCTTCTTTCAACTCATGGGAGAGAGAAGAGGGAAGGATTTGAGGAATATAGAGCAGACAGAATCCAAGAATCTGATGGCATATTTCTGTGGTGTGAGGGGGATGAAGGCCTCTGTGCTGGCTTTTTCGTGGTTGATGTCTGCCCACTGAGTTCATTGTGGTGGTTTTTCTGTAGGTGGACCTTGGGGCCTTCTAGGTACTTCTAATGTCTCAGGACACACAGTGGTTGACTTTAAGTGGTACCCTAATAAGGCATTACTTTAAAATATAAGGTGAAAGAGATTTTTCTCTTTTCTTAGTTCTTCTTGTAACAATAGGAAGGAAGTATCATTTCTGAGTTAACATGAACATCTTACTTGCTCTTTCCAGTGTTTATTTTGAGCAAAGCCAAGAATCATAAAGAGGCTGTGGAATTTGGCTGAAATTCAAAATAACGTCTTATTTTCATTGTAAACTTTTTTTATTGCCTTTTGTGTATAGAAAGCACTTTCCATTTTCTATGTCAAGTTCCTTTCATAGATACTTTTATTTCAAGGTTAAAAGGGAATTTCTCTAAAGAAACAACCACACACACACACACACACACACACACACACACACACACAGTAGATAAGACCATTGTGTTATTATTGGAATGATGAAAGGGGACACACATGTCCTGTGTCCCTTCTCTTCCTCATTATGACAGAGTGACTGATAGTAGCAATTGAAGGAGGTTGAAGAACTGTCAGAATGATGAGTAATTTTGGGGGTCAGTATTATGGCACAGCATGTAAAACCAGAGGCTATAGCATCAACATTCTGTATGAGTGTTGGTTCGAGTCTTGTACGCTTCCTTTCTGATTCGGCTCCCTGCTAATACTCATGGGAAAACAGCAGAGAATGGCCCAAGTGCTTGGACCCCTGCACCCTTGTGAGAGACTCAGAAGTTCCTGGCTTTGAACCAGAAACTCATCCAACTCTAACTGTTGTATTCATTTTGGGAGAGTAAGCCAGTAGATGAAAGATCTCTCTCTCTCTGTTTCCCCTTCCTCTTTTCTGTAACTCTTCCTTTCAAACAAATACATCAATCTCATTTTAAAAGTTAGTGATCTCACCAGTGGCTCTCAAGGTAGATCATCCTCCCTCCAATCTCCTGGATTAGATGCACAACTATTTCTTGGGCACTTGGCATAATTAGAAGTAATCATTTCATTCAAATAGACTTAATGTGTTCATAGACTCTGACTTATTTCAAAGAATAATGTTTTTGCATGAGTGGCCAAATAAAAAGGCATGAGGGATGCAGAAAGATGGGAGATGGAGAGATCGTCCACATTTCATCCTAGCACAGGGATT